AACGCTTATAAGGTTGAGTTTCTCCTTCCTCGACGGTACTGGGTAGAGTCACTTGGTTAAAGCGCCTACTTCTGAAAATCCCTTTAAATCGTGTTCTCGATTTAGAGGTTAGTGGTTCAGCCCCCATACGCAGCCCAGTGCAGTGTACTCGACTCCCGTGTCGGCAGTCCTGAGACTTTCATCGATAAAGTCGATCATGAAGGTTGGAAGAGGCTGCCGGTTCGGTCTGAGGAAGGTGGGCAAGCAATTGCCGCTATGTTCACTGTAGCACCATTTCAACTAATAGAGAATGCGCCTTATATCAAAATTTAGACCGCGATGACGACCGTACAGTGACTCAGTAATGGCCGTTTCGTCTTCAACAAGCTATACTATATTAGTTGGAGCCGCAAACCATGATTTTCTCACCGCTAAAAGGCCTAAGCCCTTGCTAGTTGTCACAGTGCTTCTCGTTCAGAATTGAGCATCCGATGTTGAGGTGAAAGAGCGTAGTTGTCGCTCAGCAATTCTGCAAATTCATTCGATGCAACTCTGGGCTCTCTCTGGGCTAAGCGCGTAAAGTTTTGCGCCGATAGCATGACCAAGCCAAGCTCCCAACACAAAAGCTTAACTTAGTCACTAGATACCCCTTTAATATAGCCATTTGGATCCCATTTAAGACGAACACCGACTTTAGTGGCTGCTTGTTGAACTTTTGAAGAGATCAACAAGGGGTTATCGTTGACCAACAGCTGGAGGGTTGCATCATGGGAGAACATGGCGGACTAATGTAAAAGGCAGAAAGGTGCTTCTAAATATGCGAGTATAATAATAAATACGGCAATGATAAGGAAATACACCACTCTTTGAAACAGGAATGCTCGTCTTTTAAATACTGCTTTTTCATCCAAACTTGGCTAGGATTCTTACATTTTCCATGTCTTTAATCGCATCACCATGTCCATCATATGTCCACATCGTATCTACGCAGCCAGCAAGTTAGGGGCCTATCATTACATTGCCTCAGAGCCATGAAACCAACATCTGGATATTACATGTTCATTGATGCCTAGTGGAGGTTAGTGATGGTATCCTTCTGGATGACCTTCTAGGTCTCGCTACTTACTTAGGTGGGAGATGGGGAGTTAGTGTTGTGATATCAAATATTATTCGTGTACACATGCGTCCTACTTCCGAGAGGTAACTCGGGCGAAAGACCACGCTTACGAAGTGTAGTGGGATGCCTAAGTGGATGGATCTTATTACGAACCAGTTCTTCTGATTCGTATGGTGTGGGCCTAGGGTCAGGTCGAGGAGAGAGTCTTCTGTCCGGGATCGCACAAACCTCAAGCATTTTAGACCTTGTTGAGGCTGTGCATTAATAACTTACCTGCACCTACCTAAAGAAGATCACTAGGTAAAACTTTGGGCGTCTACGCCCAGCGGTCTAGCTCGAAGTAGGTGTGTTCCGTTACGGGGCTGTGTGGGGCCGTATATAGCTGTACAGGCTCAGTCCCGAGGACGGGTTTAGGCAGCGAACTCTACTGGATGACTTATTGGATGTATAGGTTTGCACACATGCAATGTCAATAGAGCAATAGAGAGGCTTAACCAACATCACTCCAGCCGCAACCAACAACTACAACTCAGGTCCACATCTTCATCTGCGTACCAAGTATTGACTCCGAAGAACTTCCCATCCTTTTTGCCCTTTTCCAGTTGCATCCCTCTGTATTCATATTCGAAGACCACAACATCAATTATCACCAACTATTTCCTTCTCTTCGGAATCTCTTATAAATTCATATTGCAATCATTGCAACCATTACATAATATTACCACCATGTCGAACCCCATCGGCAACAAGAGCCCGGATGCTAAGGTCATTGGCACCAAACAGCCTGACCGGTCCTATATTGATCGCTACGCCGTCCGCGTCGTCACGGTGAATGCGTCAGGAGATATCGCCCTGATCTACGTGAAGAAGGGCAGTTACTACAAGCTCCCCGGAGGCGGCATTGAGAGGGATGAGGACCACGGCAAAGCAGCAGCACGCGAAGTGCAGGAGGAGACGGGAGCAGTGGTCTCGATGCGTAATAGTGACTGCATCGCCACTACCGAGGAGTTCCGCAACGACCTCCACCAGATCTCGTACGTCTATATCGCGGATGTCGTCGATGCCTCCGGCAAGCCCGAACTCACAGAGGAGGAACTGGTCGATGGGCTCACGCACGAATGGATACCGGTGCAGAAAGCGCTAGAGAAGATGGGAGAGGTGCAGCCGACGTCAGAGCTTGGTCGCTTCATTAAGCAGCGAGATATCTATTTGCTCCGTGAAGCTGCTAAAGTGTTGCAAGCTTAGAGCCTAGAAGTTATGCCTGTGTGTGTCTTCTGACGTGGACTCCTTGAGGCCAATACGTGTAAGTGACTACCTACTCCATGTCTAGTTCAGATCCATGAATCAAGCGTTAATCATAATGAAGTTAATGAATCGTCAACTGTTTACCAGCAGTGTCTAATAATATTTAATCCACTGATACCAACACGTTTCACATGCAGTCTCATACTGTCACAGTCGCAGTCACAGTTTGCAAGTGTCATTATTCGCGAGCATTAGCTAGCCTTGTGTCAGTTGGTTCCGCGGATCGTGGGCCTCATCGATGCTGCTATACATAAATACCAATTGCTTTACTATACCTATGGCGCTAATTCGACAATCATGGACCACTAGCCACCCTGACCGGCTTAGCTCGTCCAACGACAATCATTGAATTTTGACTCCTAGTGCCTCGTAAATTTCCCTTATATATGCCCTAGAAGCTGTATTCCCAATCAGCGCAGGCGACCTCTTGTTCATGGCATAAGTGATAGTGACTTTACGACCGACATCCATAACACCAAGTGAACCACCTGAGCCACCCCAATAAGCGATATCGCCCGCGGGCATCCACTCGTTAACCCAGTCCCCATCTCCTTTCAGAGCGTACCCAATGCCGAAACGGATAGGCGTTCCGATAGCAAGGTCCATACCCCGTGATTGTTCCTCGAAGATCAAGTCGACCGTTGCTTTAGACAGCAATTGCTTGCGCTCGCCGTTACCCTCCTTCCCCGCAAGCGTGATGGTAGAAAGTATCTGATTCATCGAATGAGCGTTACCATACCCGTTAGAAGCGCCGACCTCTCCTTGCCTCCAAGCAGGACGTTTCCCCATGTCCGGGGGCGGCATGGGGTTCGCGATCGCCTTCATGAAGAGGGGGCCGGGTTTAAAGTCCGCGGCGGGCTTCGACGGAGGCGTTGCGATAGAGGTGGCAACACGGGGCGAGTCTTTTTCCACGACGCCGAGTTGGAAATCAGCACCCAAGGGCGCAGCGATCCTCTCAGCGATGAACTGCTTCAGACTCATCCCTGTCACGCGACGCACGATCTCACCGATCAGATGACCGAAGTTCCAGGCGTGATACGCCGACGCCGTGCCGGGCTCCCACCAGGGTGCCTGAGGGGCGAGTTTAGCCGCGGACGTGACGGGGTCGCAGATCTCGTCCATGGTGATCTTCTCATCCCAGCCGGCGATGCCGGACGTGTGCGACATAAGATGGCGAATCTCGACGTTCTCCTTCCCGTTGGCGGCGAACTCAGGCCAGTACTTGGCGACCTTGTCGTGGACGGAGATGGCACCGCTGTCCACGAGCATGAGGACCGCGAGACTGGTGATCATCTTTGTACTCGAGGCTATGCCGACGATGGTGTCCTCGGCCCAGGGATGCTTGCTCTCCGGGTCTGCGTAGCCGCCCCAGAGGTTGACGACTTCCTCGCCGTCGACGTTGACGGCTATGGAAGCGCCGACCTCTTCTCCTGAGTCGATGAATTGCTGGAGAAGAGAACGGACTTTCTCGAACTGCGGAGTGCAGTTTCCGTGTACTTCCGCCATGCTAATAGAGTTAGGATAGAAGTGTTGACAGATGTATTTGGACTGGATTTCACACCTAGTAACGATTCTGAAGGAGTAGGTGTTTGTCAAGGGAGAATGAGGTAAAGATGGCGGTTCGAGATAACTAATGAAGGTAAGGGAGTGCCGCGATATATGTAGACAGAGATGGCAGGTTCGTATAATTAAGCATCCACCAGCATCGACTCCCTATATGAGTTGTTCATGCCACTTCTCCGCGCCGTTTAGTAGGTACGCCGCCTCCGTTGTTGAACAAGCTCCCGAACGCCGAAGGAATAAGCGGGGCCGTAGGATGCTCGGCAGGTGAGTCATTCGGCTATGCAATTTACAGTCCTCCAGGCAGAGCGAGGGTAAATGAAAATTGCACACCCCACCAAAGTAAGCAAAGAGGTCTCCCCAACCCTACTACTTCGCTATTGCGACAACATAGCTAAATGGGTACTATTACCTTGAAATTATACGAGTATATAGAGCAAGAGCCGGTGACTATAGTAGTCTTTTAAGTTTGTTTTCTTTCGGGTTTTAAAACGTTGTTTTAGCCGTGTAATTGATTATTAAAATAAGAAACCTTAGGTGCTAATCTAGGGGCGTGCAATTTTCATTTACCGCGACTCTGCTCCAGGATGGTAAATGTTAGCGCGGCGCTAGGAGCTTGTACTTCAAGAGTTTTTTATATGGGAAAGTCTCTACTGTCTACTCGTATATTTGGCCGGCAGGGAAGTTTTCTCGGGGCGAAACTGACCGAAAGACTAATCGGCCGTCAAGTCGCCGTACAATTTCTATGGGAGTTTGACTGATCTGCTATACCAGCACTGACCCAGATTTTAGCGCCGCGCTAATATTTGCCATCCTGGAGACCTGTAGTTAAGCCGATCTAACTAATTAGAAATTACTGTCCAACTGGAAAAAGACAATTCAGGCTATCAACAGAGAGAAAAACAAGAGAAAGAAATATAGGCGATTAAAGGACGGGGGCATGTTGGCCGTGCCAAAACCTAAACTTCAGCAATTCAAGCCCAAAGACGTAGCTAATCCATTTATATACGCTGTTAAACCTGCAATTATGTTGCAAAAATGTTTCCGGCCGGGATTGAACCGGCGATCTTCTGTGATCTACAGGGACCTTAGACGAGATGCCAAGAAGTCACTTGTAAGACAGACGCCCTAACCACTAGGCCACGAAAACCACACCAGAGGATCAGTGAAAGTCTCTGTCCACCGATGACTTCAACACTGGCATAATACAGTAATAAGGAACCACCCAGGTAGAGCGGAAAGATCCACGGAAAGCGAAAAGGAATGTCTCGGATCATACATAAAGGAGACCAGTGCGGATCTTCAATGGGGATATTAATAACCTGAATGTATGAAGGGTGAGGTGGTCAACAACTTTCCGGAAACCCTCATTGGGATAGTCGAAGCTACCGCGGCGATATACGATAAATCGTGAAGCACGGCCACGCCGCTGTCGTGATTAAAGATGCAGAGCCCAACTCCCAAGAGTACTGTAAGTCATCTTATCGGTCCAGGCTGTTTGCGCAGGTCCCAATATTATTGACGGACGTGTTCTGTCCGGCTGCTATGTAGCAGGCATCTTGTAGGGTGCTGATATCGCTGTTTCTGGCTATGTGTTGGTACCCTAGTCACCCCTTTGCAGACTTGGGAGGTTCGGAAATCAGCTGATCACTAAGTTGAGCCCTACCCGACCTATTACCTTACTGTGATGGCCCTTTTGCTTACCCTGTGGTACTTGCCCTGACATTTTCCTGGGCTTTGTGTTTCTGCTGAAGTCCTACATAAGTAGGAAATGGTCAAGATTACTCGCGCATCGCGTTTGTGTCATGTGGCCATCCAACTGGTATTATGGAGTTGCATGGACCTTGTTCTTAGATATTGCCTCAACGATGTTCTCCTGGTTGTTTCTTAATGTTGTCTTCATGCTATCGTCAGGTGTTTGAAAATACTTTGTTATCCTGTAGTTTAGCGAGGCGAGGAAGCCATTCGTACATCTTCAAAGCGCTAACGCTCTCATAAAAGCCTGTAAAACAAACCCCCTCCCCGACTTCACGACAAGTTAGGTAATAACCAAGCCTTGTGTCCCACAGGCAGTCGCCAAAATCTCTCTCTCTCTCTTACATATACCATGTGTACTACGGTCCGTAGCGAGACGAATACATATCGCACCTACGAAGGATTTTTTCAAGCATACTGATCCATGATTTGCATACAGCGGACGCTTCCATAAACCCATCCAGCAAACCAACACCGACGATATATAGTTTCAAGCGCTATATACCTCTTCTCCCTATTGAGTGTAGTATCCAGCAAGATCGCCAGCAGATTAAGAGTCCCGCCATACCGAGTTCCGCCATTTCGGCTTGCGAGATCTAAACCGTGCTTGAGAGAGTCCTTTCGTCGCTAGCATCTTCCATAGTGTAGCCAGTCGTGTGCTGTGTATATAAAAGCGTAGCTCGTGGCCTTCGGCTCCTGTCATTAGTCTCATTCTACAACTAGCCTGGGGCCCTCGGCCTCTACCTCGCCGAAAAAAGGTGGAAAGCGAGCCCAAAATAGGGGCTAGACGAAACTCGCCGTGGTAGGGGCCTCGGGGTCTATTGCACCGTGCTGTAATCGGGTCTTGGTTTGACGAAGTCACAGCCGTGTTGTATATGGCTTCGAGAGTCCGTCGAGGAATCGAGGTTCGGTACGGTTGCCGGCGAGGCTCGAATACTCAATACGTCGGAAACGAAGTGGTATGATGACAGCAGTAGGTCGCGGTCCCTTCCCAGGCCATGATGCGCGAATGCCTGGTCTCACCTCTCTGTCGTCGGTTGTAGAGCAGGTGTTGCTGTTAGAAGAAACCTGATAGGTAGTTCGGAAGATCAAGTATTAGGATACTGGGAGTTTCATAGAACCATAGATGAGGTGCCCCAGAAAGATTTTCGAAAAAGGGCAAGGAGGTCTTGCGGGGCTCATGCCGGTGTTGTGGAGTGAGAGTAGGTGTAATAAGTTTCTCTAAGAAGTTGCCTAAATTTGAGTTCTAAAGTCTTTGTCTACTTCGTGCCCATTAGGGCAGCTTTGATCTTGTTGTCGACGATTAGTTGTTGCTACTAGTCTCCAAGATATAGCTCCGTGTCTTGTGCTTACCAGGGTAAGTGTCGTGAGCTCTCCTGTCACTCGACTATATGTCAAGTGTCAACAGTCGGTTTCTTCCCTGAATTATGGCGTTTGGTTCGCCGATGACCTTCAAGTTCCTACACATGTGCGTAACCTAAGGCACCTGAGGTAACTCAAGTGCGTGTTGTGAGTGAATTTGTTTACACAAGAATGCGAGGTACCTAAAGAAACACCTGGTACTTTCTGTAGTATGATTCCTCAATCTCATACCTTCCTTCTTTCCACCCGCACCTCACTTTTGTTTCCTCGTTCCTGCTTTACAGACTGGACTTCAAGTTCTCTGCACCTGCACTACATTGGACTTCAATTTTGCTTTCTCGTTCCTGCCACGCAGAATCTGACTTCGGGTTTTCCTCGCTCGCACTGGATTGTGGACTGCACTTTGTATTCTTGTTCCTGCTTCACAGAGCTTGACTCCAAGTTCTTGTCACCACACCGGACGTCACTTTGTTTTCTTGTACCTGCCTGCCACACAAAGCTTGACTTCAGGTCTTCTCTTTAACCACCTGCACCTGGAACTCTCTTCGTTTTCTTGTTCCTGCCTTACAGACTTTGAAGGCTTTGCTCTCTAATTTTGGTTCTTGACACTACGGACCTTCCCTCCCCGGCACATACCACACCCCATTTCTTTCCCACATTCTTCGCCTTCAACCAAAATGGGCAACATCCCAAAGTTGCTATCACCTCTGGAGGACCTCCATTTCCGCAAGGACATTATCGGCCGTCTCTTGGAGTCTATTGGTGGCGATGAGGAGCTGAAGGTTCTATTTGAACAATTCCTTGGCAATGTCACCGCCAACGCTGACCATAAGAAGCTGGCCTACCATTTGTTCTGCTCTGTATGCGCTATCCCAACCAAATACCGCCTGTAGCTATCTACCTAGGTAGGATCAAAGCTAACCTGTACAGGTCACTGTGTATATCTCCAAACACACAACGTTGGATGAGCAACAAGATTCTGCTCTCTGTGGCCTCATCCGGCAGCTGCACCAAGAGTGGATCGACGACGATGCTCCACCAAAGTATTCGAAGACGCCATCCCACATCGAGACGCTCTATTATGATGACGTTTGTCCCGGGCAAAGTGCTTCATCCGGCGCTGCTGGTCCCTCCGGTATCAATACTGTTGCAGATGCGAAAGCGGCGGCCGTCGATGCCAGCGATGTGGCGCGGGGTGACATCGTTGACACCCTTAAGATCAGCGAGATGTGTGAAGCCTTTGAGCGTACTGATATTGCTCGCTCTACCACTCCCCATGGTTTCGTGCGAGAGGCCGAGAAATACATTCCAGCGTCCCCGAACTTCCATCGAGATGTCAGCCCAAAAGACACGGTCGATTTGAAGGCTCGGTATCCCTTCGGCCATCGACTCATGGCTAAACATGGATATGATGATCAGAACGGCCTTGGTATTGACGGAAGCGGAATCCAACGGCCGATTGACGCCAGTAAACTAGCCCACGATGTCCGAGGTCGAGACGCTCCTCTTGGGTTGGGGTACGAACCCAAGGGCAAGGGAAAGGCACCCGTGAATGGTTGTTCTACATTCGAGACTGGGAAGCCAACCACTGGATCGACTGGTCTGGCGGTGGCCTGGCGGAAATACGTAGCAAATCCTCACGCGGGGGATACAACTGCCAAAGAGGTTTATGCCCTCAGGGGTGCCAAGAACTCCGCACTGCAGACCATCCCAACCAACGGAATGAATGCCGCTCAGCATGGTAGTACGACGAAGACCATCGTTCACGAAGAGTGTATTATCAATGACACTTGGAAGGATACAACCAAATCTAGCGGCCACACTCAGAATCAGGAGGTCAAAAGCCAGCAGTCTAAAGTTGCATCTACCGCGCGAGGCTTAGTCAGAGATATTGCCAAAGGAGCTACGGTCTTTGCAGCAGCAACCCCTCGATTGGGTGGCAAAAGTAACTTTCAAGGCCGGAAGAACTGGGCTCGTGCGTCTGATGCTCGAAAAGAAGTCCCTCAAGTTGGTACGAATGAAGTACCACCTGCCCCTCGTGGCTGGGTCTGGGAAAATGGAACTCTCAAGCCAGACCTTAACCCTAGACGTCCTGGCAACCGAGAAAGTCACTTCTTCGGTTGATTTGCGATTACCTCTACGCAGGCTGATCGCGGCAACCTCCTGAAGTAGTCAAGGCGGACCTAGGCTACACTGCTCACTCTGTACTTTGGAACAAGGAAACACGGAAGGTCTTGGAAGGCACTCGTTGGCATATCCAGGTAGTTTATTGGCAATGACCTGCCTAAATGCCCAATTCTTGTCACTAATACACTCTTCGCCATTGCAAATTCTCTTTCATATGAACCTGTAGTAAGACAAGGGTGTCGCTGCGGTCCTAATATGCTTTGTTTATGTCGCGCTATACCAAGGGGAATGCTCACTCCAATTGATTCGTTTCTTTCGCATCCACCCCCAGAACCCTGGAAGCTTCTACCTTTCCCGCAGCGGTTGCTTCGATACTAGAGTTTATGGCTTTTAACTTTGCTTCTTGAGTATGACCTTTCTCTTTTTCAGAGGTCTGCCTAAAGGCGATGGGCATAAGTAGGCTCAAATTGATAATCGAATTAAAATCCCGCATGTTATTTGTATTGTCGGACTTGGTCTTTATGTGCTCTCGTATAGATTTACCCATAATCATTAATTGATTGGCTTAGGACAGTACGGTAGTCAGGCTGACTTTATTAAGCGGGTAGCTATCCGAGACGATCTACCGGTTTGATCGACAGGAGGCTTGCGCCATCAAGTACCTACCTGGGCTTGCGGAGGTCAGAATAAATGAGCCACCCTGATAGTATCTATTTTATCCAATACTTTCAACAAAAATAGTCTAACTACAAGTAATATAAAAAGTAACGAAAAGGTACTTGTAAATACTTTAATGAGTAGGCAACACATGCATTTTTTTATAGAATTTTTATATCAGGTTTAATGCAGCTTAAATCTGTTGGTTAGTTCTAGTATAGTGTGCACTTACTTTGTGGCTGCATGGCT